TTTGTAAACCTTCAATTCAACTCTTAACACTGTACAACTTACACTTACAGACAGAGTAACTCAGAACAGCGATGGCGGCAGTGACTGTTTGCAGCACCACCAAAGGCTTGTTCCTCATGTTCACCCTGCTTTCTCTGGTTTGCCTTTCAAGTTCACTGATAGACAAGGACCAGCTGGTAAATTGTTTTTTTCTTAAAATTTAAGTGATTTTGTGAGTCACCACGAACAAAGTTGCTGGTGTAATTTAAATGTTTTGAAGTTCAACCACTTGTATATGCTGGATTTTCAGAAACAACTGAAAGAAAGCTATCAGAAGATAAAACAACAAATGGACAGAGTGAAGGTCAGTACATGTTTAGACAACTGCAAAAAGAAACTTGTGGATATATGTGACCAAATGTAACGTTACAACATAAAAAACTGCCTTAATGTAATATGAAACTACAATTTGATTCCATCAGGCTGGGCGTGAGGAAGTGGACTCCGGTTCCGAACTGATGAGCGAATACTTGCACATTATGGACCCACTGATTGCACTGATGAAGAAATCTGGTGACTTTCCTCTACTTAACACATTTATGGAGTACATTAAGAATTTCGTCAAGGAAAGTAAGGCTAACATTGACAGGGAGAATAAGGAGTTGGGTGAGGAAATGGAGGAAAGTGAAATGAAACTGAGACAACTGAAAAGAATTATTGAAGTCCTCGAGGAAAAGCAAGCTGAATTGTAAATTCCATGTCAGTCATTTCATTTTTCTTTAATAATGCATCTTTTGTATCTGTGGTTAGTTTCGATTTCATATACTACAGCTTTGCTTAACTTCAGTTTAACTTTTTTTTAGAGCTGTCATTCTTCTTTACTGTCTGATATTAAAAAAAAACAACAACATTTCACTATCAGCTCATATGTGCTGATGACAACTTTTAAGAATACATTTCCAGTAGTTACTTATTTTTCTGCCATTACTTAAATATAGAAGTGGAAACAATGTTTATATAAACTACAAACTGCCACACAATAAAGACATTTACCTACTACTGTTATTGTTTCTGTTCTTCAGCAATAAAATGACAGATTAATAACCTGCTCACATTCTTGTGAAATGCAAGTATGCCCTCACCAGAAAGTTTATGCTGATGTTTATCATATAAATGATATTATTATTATTATTATTATTATTATTATTATTATTATTATTATTATTGTGAATGTTTTCATAATTTATTTATTCATTTATTTTTTATGGTAATTTGCAGCATTCATATTTTTGCATTGAATTGGGTGAACCACATCTGCATGTCAATAGCACAGACATCTTTATTATGAAAGCCATAATACTGGTGTTATTTGTCCATGATGTACATTCATAAACATCATGTTCCATCTATATTTATACCTTTACTGGTTTCCTGTATTAACGGCTTTTATACATTTTAC